TTCTTGTTTGCAGAAGATCGTTCGAAATGAAATATTGGATTAATTGTTTGTTTATTTTAGATATATAATTATGTTTAGGTCATATGTTAATATTACAAAAGTTCAACACCTTTTAAGTAAATTTGTTTTTTTTCTTTTAAGTAAGGGCATTTTCGTATTTGCATTAAGCTTTTTTTCGATTTATTTTTTTATTTATTAAGAAAAGGACACATGGCGTTCATTTAAAAGGTACCTGTTGTTAGGTAAGTACAAGCCAAAGTACAAGGGTACCTGACTGTAGAAAAGCCCTAGTTTCTTTTGTTGGAAAATTCTTATAAAAATCAACACTAGAATATTTCCGTCAGAATTGGATTTTTATGAAATTTGATGATTCCAACGAACATTTTCACGATTTATTGTTGTAGTAATTTTATTTAGACTTTTTGTTCGGAAAACTGTCATTGGAATCATCATATTCTCACAAAAGTTCGTTCAAATTTCGGTTTCATTGGAATTTCATCATTGTTTTTGTAGTGTAGTGTTATTACTAGTACAATGCCCGTGTATTACACGGATGCTTGCTTTTTTTTTTAAATCTAAAACTAATGAGAAAAAGTAGTTACAATTTTAAATACCTTTTATAAAAATATATATGTTATTATATATTTAGTATGACACTTTTTATTTGTGTGACCTACATTGTGTTGTATTATAATAATTTTTTTAACTTACAACATATAACTATATTAAACATAAATATATCAATTAAAAAATAATTTTATTTTTCTAATGAATTTTAATAAATATTATTATTTTTTATTATTATAAAGATAAAATATAATTTATTTATTTCATATATACAATATGGATGTCAAATCGAAGATCATTAAAAGATGATTAATTTGATATATTATATATGTAAAACCGATAATAAATACAAAAGTTATCAGCTTTTAAATACATTTACAATTCAATAATTAATTGAAGGAAACAAATCAAAAGTCAGGGATATAGTAGTCACTTAGTGTCTCACTATGTAAAATTACAAATAATTAAAGGGTTATATTAGTACAAAGGATATTACAATACCTAAGTTAACTAAATAATATTTATAGAATGTCTGAACCTAGATTATTAATTATTAATATATCAATATTATTTGTTCAAACCAGTGTTTAAAAAACCGTACCGTACCGGCCGGTAATACCGGTATTACCGGTTACCGGCCTTAGGTATGGTACAAAAACACACAAAATACCGGATTTTCGGTAATACCGTTTTGTACCGGTATTGTACCGTAAATACCGGGAAAAACCGGTCCAAAATACCGGCCATGAAAAAAAAAATTAAGAAAAAAATAAAAAATATTTTTTTTTTTAATTTAAAAACATAAAATTTAAATTAGTAGTTAGAATGTTTTATTTTATTTCATTGGTAAGTTAAAATTAATGATTATGATCATTTATTTTTTATTTTTTTTTTGTATTTGGTATTATATATTTTTATAAATAAATATATATATTATTATATTTGCTAGTCCGGTAATACCACCGATATTACCGGTCGTACCGGTAATACCGCGTACCGGTGGGTAGACCGGTATGGCCACCGGTACGGTATTTAAAACACTGGTTCAAACCTAATTACGAAGCATGATTTTTCGCCAAGTAGGATTCCGAAGCACCAGAAGCAACCACGTAGGCTCAGCGCATTCGGGAATTATAAATAGGATGGATTTTTTTCAAGACTTGTGCAACCCTTGATTGCATTACCCCTTCATCATATTTAATTTGCCTTCAACCATGGTTCGTCTAGTAGCTTAATTCATTCTTGGTCTCTCATACATTTCCAGTGTGTAATCAACCACACGAACAAGAATTTTGCACCTAATCCATACATTATAACATATATTTATCAATATTTATAAGTTAATAAAAAATTAATTTTCTATTATAATTCTTTTATTTAGAAAAATACCCTAACTTGTCATTTGAGTCGAAATATAGAGGCGTAGCTAGAAATCTTTTACATAGGGGCTACAGAATGTACCATTATTATTCGAACCTAGTTGTCTGCTAAAATAGTTCAATTAAGTTTGTGAAAGCTCTATCATGACTCGCTTGTATATTTAAACGAGCTAAGCTCAAATAACTATTCGAGCTTGTCTATCAAACAAGTCGAATCAAGCGTGTTTGCGATAAGTTTGGTTAAAGTTTCGGATTTTGGTTTAGATTTTAGGGTTTATTATAAGAGTCCAACGATTTTATACGGACCACAGTCGAGCTCACATTTTTGTTTGTTCATTAAACGAGATGACCAACTGTTTAGCAATTGAGCACGAGATCGAACATGAATTACTCGATTCGAATAATCCAACTAAAAATTTATTAATAAAGTCAGAGTATAAAAATAAATTTTAAATACTTAATGTAAATTACATGAATCACGCAATAAATAATATTTAAATGTGAATATTTCATTTGTAAAATAAAATATCAATTATTAAGTCATATTTTATATGGAGAAAAACTTGCGACTTATTGACTACTATATTATTCATTTGAAAAATGTTCATTTTAATTATCTATTATTTTTACGTAAAAGTACAAAGATAACTTTTCTCATGTGCTTGAATTTTAATTAGAAAAAAATGACAAATTTTATCAAAATGATGTTATGAGACGGTCTAGTAATCTCGTCATTCTTGTTATATGACATGTCATTTAAGGTTCGTATGTCATTTCAATTGAATATGTCACATAAATGAATGAGATTTAGTA